ATGTTGTAGTAGCGGTGCCAGTGAAATAATATGGTGAATAAATAATCACCGGAAGGCTGCGAGTTGTGATTATTTCAGGAACAATCGCTCACGGCACGACCTGGTACGACAAGAATGAGCTGGCATAATTCATTGTGCTCATTATTTCAATGTGATCATTTACCGAAATCAAATGTACTTTGAAATGGTGCCGTTTGCCTTGTTTCTGATAAATAATCGTCCCGAACGCGATGTAAATCGTTATTCTTTAAGCAATTTTCCTAACCTGAACTATTATGGTCCATAACCTAATTAATATCCATAACATATTGTTGTGTACTTCCACTGTGAAATGAAATCAATCATTTAACGTGTCCACGTACATACTCCTAATATGATGCAACAAATTCTGTACACATGGTATAATTGTAATATGCTCTTTAATTAGTTTATATATCTCTACCAATTGTGTTATTAAAGAAATAAACAAATCTGAAAATAAACAAGGTTGTTAGATACATATGTGTAGTGTTATCTAGAACTATTTATTTAATAGAGCCCTCTTTTTGGAACATTCTCTTTTAATAGAGTTCTAGCAATTACAATTTTCATAAAATGTTATATTTTGTTAATAATGTCTTTTTATAATTCCAGGTAGAGTAGTAGAGATAATTGGGACAAATTCTATATACCAAAGACGGAAGAACAAACTAAAATAGCAAAAGCTGTTTTCCCACCATAAACAAAAAAAAGGAAAAATCATCATAGATCATAAAAGATTTAAACATTGTCACGGTGCAGAAGGGCTCTATGTGCTCCATATCAGCTTCAGCAAATGGTACTTTAGTTCCCAAGAATATTGTATCACAGCATCAGAGGAAGATTTCATCTGCAAATTATAAACTTGGTATACGACAAAGACAACATGCGCAACGAGATTACTGCAGCAGTACTATTCTTAGTACAGCTGATAGAAAAAAACGAAAAATTTAGTTCCGATCAATTGGAATGTTTTAAGCGACGTTTGGCGGAATTATTGACGGAACGTTTTAAAAATCACTGGTTTCCCGACAAACCATTTAAAGGTCAAGGCTATCGTTGTATTCGTGTAAATGGCCACAATCGGAGGGATGCAACTTTGGAGGGCGCTGCTATTGCTGCTGGAGTAAAGTATGAAGACCTATCGCTACCAGTTGAATTAACACTTTGGGTTGATCCTAATGAAGTTTGCTGCCGATTTGGGGAAAGTAAAGGGTCATACTGTACATTGGCGTCATTCGATGATAAGGAGAATACTGTACCGATCTTTCAAAGAAGCAGTAACGGCTTAGAAAAAGAGAGTAAACATTCAGAGGGATCGCCTAAGATACAGGTCAGTTTATATACTTTATCGTCTGTATTCTTAGTTTTACAGGTTTTTCAATATTGAAGAACAACAATTAATGTCTTTTACAGAAATCCCCTTTGACTACTAATACAGACCAGCAACAAAAATCAAAACCATTAAGCTCTGCTAATCAAAATCAACAGCATAGCAATAACGGTACAGGTAGGAAACGCAATTTAAACAGCCCGAGGCTGCATCTTAACAGAAATCGTTCCTGGTTCGGTCACTCCTTCAGTATGGGCTATGGTCCTCATCCAATAAGTCAACCATGGTATAATATTATGCCTCCTCATTTTTTGGGTGGTCCATCTCCACCACCTTTCATGGGCCATAGAGGAAATAAGTGGATTCATCCACCATCCTATCCTACAGGAGCTGCACGTTTTCACCATTGGTCTCCTAAAGCTGCTCTTAAAGTATAAACAATCCCTCCTTATGAAAGTAGTTAAGAAACCTGTTCCTTTCTATCAAAGAATACACAAAATTATTTCATTGGGCGAAAAATAATATGTTTCAATGTATAAGTACATTTGAGGTCAGATACAATTATTAAGGGTATTATTTAGAATATATGTTCTTGAAAGATTCAACATGAACGTATTTGGATTAGGAACAGGTTTCTTAACATTTCAGTGACGAAAATTATCCATTCTGTAATTACAAATGACCTTCTTCGAATTACGACTAAGGCTTACGATTTTTTATGACGAGAAATGTTGCATTATTACATGTTATATATAAATAATTAATTGGATGATAGATGTTTAATTCCGGATGCAAGGTTGCTTGTAAAATATACTAGACTAGAGAGAATTTAATTAAAGTGAGTTAAGTCATTGACGTGGAAGACATGGGCAGATGAATGTCATATCACTTGTGACACATTTGCTGATTAATCCTCGAGAAAAGGATTTAATAACGAAAAGTAGATCGTAGGTATTTCAAGAGGGAGCAGTATTGATTTTTTAAACGGGTTTCCGAAATTGGATTCAATTCTTGATTAAATTGTATGTAATGAATTTTTAATGTCTTATACGCAAGGTGATCTCAATTCGTTAAATAAACGTTTCTCGTATCAAATTCTATTGCGTAATAGAGAGAAAAGGTTTCGAAGAACTTTTTCTTTAATTTGTACATATGTAGCGTATTTGCAATGACTGGAGATTCAAAGTTCGCTTTATTTTTCAATATTGTTATTACGCAGAAAGAAATATATGTACATACATATATAAAGATATATAAATTAGAAATTTAGTATGACTCTCTATGACAATATTGACGAACTACGCAAGCTTTGAAATTCTGGTGTCACTGATTTGAAAATTGTACACGAAAAAATTCAAATCGACAAACTTTATCTTGTACTGTATATGTATGTTACTATTTGCGTTTACGAATAGATGTATATCTATGATTTTTACAGGTATATGGTGCAATTGACGTTTAAAATATTTTTGCTTCGAAAAGCACACCATACCTGTTGTGTAAAGATACTGCCTCCAGTAGAGATTCTACTAATAATCATTTATGTTAATGGATTATTAACAAATGCATGAATTTCGTGATTAACGTAATATTATAATAAAAGGGAATTTTTATTTTACTTATGCTCAACGCAGAGAGCTTACGAGTGTGCATCATCGATGTTGGTAGATGTATAGCTTACCGCAATTGAAACTTTGATTCTGTTATATCAATGCTGACGTGTACATTCAATCTTGTATATTGTAGACAATTTATAATACCATAGTAACTTATACCCAATTAAACTATACGCTCCTGCTTTGTTAATAACATGGATACACGCGGAATTTTTATTTGGGATTTATCTATGTATGAAGGACTCAAAAACCAAGTAAAAATGAGCTTAACTTTTCAATCATCGTTTCTTACAGTATTTTCTAATTATACAATACTTAATTTCTTTTAGTATTCCTTGCATATTGTTTAATTATAATTGTGTACATGACAATGAAAGTGATGAGTCATATTTATAAAAGAAACTTGAGATGATATTTTTTGTTTGCCACAATATTAATTCTAACATAGACTCACGTTAATATCGTTTTACATCGCTAACAATGGACAGTTAAATATTTCGTGCTAAATATAAATACTGTAAGCCAATTAAACTTTGACTCTAAATTTCTCGAAACTAGAAACGTACGACTTATGCCACTTTCTTTCTCACATACACGATTATTGTTCAAATACATTTGTGTAAATGTACATATCATGTCTAATGAATCTGTGATCATTTTATTCGAACGTTTTTCACATTGTTTGGTTTTTGAACCTTTCAGGCATATATCGACATTTTAATTTAATTTAGTGTATAAAACGTGCAATTTTTCCAGTTTACGGGGTATTTATAACCAGCGAATCATTCGTAAAAGGTAACTTCCCTTTATTTACATGGGAGTTGTCTTTTAAGAATCATGTTCGTACAATTATATTGTTAACTCATTGGCGCATGACATACACAATATAAAATGAGATACCGGCGTATTTTATTTGTTAATTTATATGGGTAAATCGTTTTAAGAAGAACCGTTTGATTGATGTTTTAAATCAATGAAATTGATATCGATGTGAAGATATAAAAATCTAATAGAATAGGTGTTGATATTTGTTACGTGCTACGAATCTAGTTAATGATGCAAATTGGAAGATTGTCGGTAAATACACTTAAATGTCCTTAGATGAATTCTGAGAAGTATAACCAGACATAAACGTACATAAACATTATTGAATAGACCGTATTAGAGCAAATTTTACTGAAACAGGTAGTGGATACTTTCATGTTTCTCGCGTTTAGCATTGTTTAATATACACATATATATATATATGTATATACATATTTATGTGCGCGTGTGTATACACACATATATATATATATGTATATGTATATATATACTTCTATGCATGAAATTGCTCTATTGTAGGTAATTCTTGTGTTCAATTTGTTAAAACTTATTTAGAATCAAGTCATTTTGTTATCAAAGATTATAGAAATTCTATATGAACATAGATATTATAATAATGTACATGTAGAATTAAGCAATGTTGCATTCGGATATATTCTTTTATTAATATATATACGATGCTCAACATTTGAAATGTTCCAAACTTTTTAATTGTGTTCATCTATAAGAAAACAAAAAAAATGAAACGACACATTTCATACTCCATAATACTACAACATTTTGTAATGAAAGGAAATGTTCAGGAACAATTTTTTTATAATAAATCTATATTCAAATGACATGTGATAAAACACGTAGTATTTAATGTACATTTGTATTCTTGACGAGAAAAAACGTATTACATACATTTCAGGCAAACAGAAGTTATATAATCCCCTTTTATATGAGAAATTATTTTATATTCGTTACTTCTTGCATGCACGATAGCGCTAAACAAATATACTGCTTTAGCATAATGAAAATGAAAATCCTTTAGATCATGAAAACAAGTTTGACCGAATATTAAAATATAAATTTCAGCTTTTCATTTCGAACGTGAAAATCCCGCTTCTCTTTTCTTTTTTGCCTATCCAATGTGTAAGAAAAAAATTTTGATGTTTCATTAATTGTAAATTCTCGTATCGAGTAAGACTGTACTTTACAATTGTGTAAAAACAATGTGTCCAAAAAAAATGGCAGATTTGATATTAAGCATCGACGTTTGGATCATTTCGATTGTAGGGTATAAGGCACTATATAAACATATATACATATATTCTACCACTGCTGTGTCATATGTTATAAAATATACTTCTTGCATAATTGTGCAAACGATAACTATAATCCTGTTCTACAACCATACTGATCTTCGCATTTTTTCATAACTTCAAATATATATATATATCTGTTCAATACTTTGTTTCGTGTTATCCAATAAAAACTATATTACACATTCAAGGAAAACACTTATAAATCATTAATTGTACAACCTTCTTATATTTTCAATATCATAATCAAAATTTATGGAATTATAATAATCATATTATTACGAATTAAATTTTAAAACACTAAAAGGATTCATATAATCTGTACTAAGAATCAACAAATCAAAATAAAATCATATTATGGATTGCAAGTTAATTATTACCTTTTTATTTCTAAGTACAACGCGCTCTGGTTAGAAAAAACTAATCTACATGAGTAAGAAACCTTTTCATAAACCTTTATTGTGTTCTGAGTGATTTGTGTGTCAACTTTAAAATCGTACTGTGCATTTGTTTATAGAAGGAAAATAAAATTTTATAAAGCTTACGTATGATTGCTACAGGACATTATACGATACGCATATTATAAAGTTATATCGTAATTGTTGTATTAACATCGTTAATGGTTTTATCATTTAATATTATGTACGCGAATACTTAATAAATATTTCAGCAAATCAAATATTTTCTTTTGCATATTTTTATTTCAAATGTATATCGTTTTCCGCGTATGAAACAGTGATGGCTAGAACTTACTTTTGAATCACTTGTGATTCGATCACGTTCGTTTCCAATCACGGTGATCTTTCAGTGATTCGTGGTTTTCGTGATTTGCTTCTGGTGTGCGCTTCACATGTATCAGACGTGTATACGCTGCAGTGTACATTTAGAGTAGTAGATGATAAGAAAATGAATAATATTATCTTTCAAAATAAACAGCAATTTTCTAAAAATTTTATTGAATATTTTAAAAATCGAAAGCTATTTCATATTAGCAGATATGAATATTGCGATTATATCAAGTCCATTCAACAAAATCGAGATCCCGGTCTTGATCGTGATTTTGTGATTCCCGAAAAAAATCACAGTCAGTGATTTTTAACATCACCTCTACTATGAAGAATGAACACGTGTCACTTCACAGAATCGATTTGACACAGAATAAGTTACAGCGACAGACTCGCCGAGTTGATAAAGAAAGGAGAGAATGACAGAAATGTTTTGATAAGATAATTAATGATAAAGGGAGTAGCTTCTGATCTCATTTTTGTGCAACACGACTTATGAGATTGAATGTAAAAGGAAAATAAAAAACCTAAGATATTTAAACGTTTACGTAATTCGCGTTGAAAGATAAAATTAAAATTCAATGTATTATATCTATAAATTTATATATTTTTCTTATCAAAGTTTGCTTCGTTCAGCATGTTGAAAGAATGCAATAACGTTTGTTTACGGACCGATCACGTAATGCTACGATGTTAGGTACCACGGAATAGGTATAAGTTAAGAAAGGGGAAAGTTTGAAACCTTTCAGTTATGTACTTTGATGTAAATTTTCGTGTAGCAGTGTAAGAGAATTCGCTGTGCGACGCAGGCTGAACGTCCCAATCGCCAAATGACCGACATCTGGAAGCGATTTTCTTGTCGTAAAATTTTACTGCCTACCTGCTGACCGTGCACAATTTTTCGCACCTACACAGGCATCCTTAAAAATATGACCCTGACGAAAATTTTTTACCGTGCTACCCCTAATTTAAAAGCTGACAGAATAGTATATGTATGTGACGAAAAGGTTTAAGCAATTCTGTTAGAGACGATTAGCTTATCTTCGTATTTCAAGGATGTACGAGACTACACATTTTTAGACAAAATGAAATGCTTACAACATTTAATTAAAAAATGTATTTCAATTTTATTTTCAATTTGTATTTGTTTTATGGTGTAAATATTGTAATATGTATTTATTTTGAATATAGTACAATATGACCCAAACATCACAATGAACTGAAATTTTTAAAGGAGGGGGAGAAGGGGTGAAATTTGAGTTTACATTTGCTATTTTAACTCACTCATCCTTTCCTTTCACTCCTCTCTCTCTCTCTCTCTCATTCCTATATTGCTTAATTACTATACGTACACTTAGCTCTCATTTATGCTCCACTATAATTTGTACTACAGATTTTTCTTTTCTGTATTGTACGTTTACTTCCTGTTCCTTCTTTCTTAACTTAGGTTTTTAAGAAATTCCTTTATCTTCTCGTCAATCCTTCCTCTTTCAATCTAATTTCTCTTTCCAGCCTCTACTAACGTTCCAACGTATCAAATTTATCATCACACGTTTTATTTCACCTTTCTGTAGTACTATATCTAACTTCTGCCAGTAATTGGTGACTATCTTCCCCAATGATCTTCCCTTCCTTCTTTATTCAGATATTGCGGAGTTCCTATTACTTTAATGTGTGCATTTGTATCTTGATTTTTTCTTTGATTTCTCTATCTTTACATCCTGTATTTGTCTTTGGGCGTTAAAATCTATTTTTACAATTACATCTCTCCCCTCTTCACTCATTATGTTGACACCTATAATTGGCATTACCCGTAAAACATCCAAATAACTGTGATCAAGTGTGAAAGCATGATCAAGATTACCTGTGTTCCTCTAATCTCCACAATTTTTCGATCACACTCAATTTCAGTGATATTCAACATAGACAAAATTACTGCCCCACCCTGTATAGAGAGACAGCGGAAGAATCTAGGTGGAGAACAACTGGAACTTACCCTCGGGCTCGGTGCTAGATACATAGCCGAGCGAGTGCAAATAAGTGCACGCTTTTACACAATCGCATCTATACATACGTTAGGCATTCGTAAAACTTAGCGAGCTGCTGCGATCCGCAGGAGTAAAAATAAAAAGAGAAACACGAGAGAAGAGAGGATCGTTGACAAAGAGAGGAGGCAGCGGAAGCAACAGCGAAGTATTATATTCCGGTGTACAGAACGAGAAAGAGAAAACTGCACGTTTGTGTTAGTGAGGCCACATGGAGGGGATGATTACATAGACCGACTACTAGGCGTGGCATGTAGAACCACCCAGCCGTCCAATCAGAGCAAGGGGCGTTATCTGGACGTATAACAATGCCTCGTGTAATACATACATCAGCGGTTCTCATCTACGTACATTCGACTTTCTTATCGTAAACAATCGTACAAATTATATAGATCTAGATAGTAATACGAATCCATGATCGATCGAATCAAATTTGTCGGATACATTATTCTGAAATGACGTCAGAACCTTGCGAAGAACAGATTAGTACGAAGAGTAACGTCACGGTTCTCGCGTTGTCCTCATGATAGCCTTTATCACATAGCGCTGAGATGAAAGGTGGTTTAAGTACCGCCTACGTTAGAAATCATTGACACAGGCGCAAATCGCGAGGCTGTGCGACTGCGTTGGTACGACCGAAACTTTTCCAGAAACGTGAACGAGAAAGAGAGCCAGAGAGCTGGAGAGAAAGCGTGACACGAGAAGAGTAACGGAGAAAGAGCGAGTAGAGAAAGACAGAGAGAGAGAGAGGGTGAGAGATGGAAGAAAGGGTAGCAAGTCGGAGGAACGCTCCTGGCTCGGTGGGGAGTCTAGCGTGCACCGTGCATCCAGTTGTATACCTAAATGCGTACGGTACTGTTTTAATAGTACACACGCGTAGTCACGGCCCAATGAATTGATCCCGTGCGGTGCATCCCCCCGGATAAAAAAGATGTCGCGCCATCTTTGAGGGCACTCCCGCTTCCAGAGGGATAGCCCGCGCATTTTCGATCGCGGACCGTCAGCCAGCGCGCATTGGTTTTTTCTCAAACAGACCGACACACTCCGGCGTGCTACTCGACGACAAAGTTCGAAGCTCGGACGTAAATTATTATCGCATACGTCGTTTTTCTATAAAACCGTTTAATGCTGCCGTTTAAAAATTTCTAAACCGGAAATGTTATGGGAAATAAAAAATATGGGCATAAAATTATGACATAAATATAAACCGAAATGTATAATATTTGGACTGGAACAGGATTATAATTTGCATTATTTTAATACGACGGTGTTCTACGTGTTAACTGTTGTCAGTTTCATGAGATTGTTCAGCGGTATTCACCGCAGAAACGTCGTTCTGATCGCTTGTCAAATTGAAAGCGTTCACTTTAATTCCGTCGGATCGGCAAAGTGCGCGAGGGATAGTGTCGAAATGAAGACTTGTACTCGAATAAACTTTTAGTGCACAAACATTGTGAAATATCTATTTTTGTCGTAGAGCGCTGTTGGGATGCATTTTTAAAGATATTTTATAAAAATCTCGGTTTAAAATATCAATAAAACTCGTAACATAAAATGGTTAACAACAGTGTACACGACAATTAAAAAGAACGATGTAAAGACGTCGCATCGTTTAACCAGAATTAGTTGACATAAAAAGAACGAACAATAATATTTGATAAAATTCGGTGAAGAACTAGAGTGTGTCAAGTACCGTCGGCTTGATCAAAATGTACCCCCGTTAAGGGATCTTCCTGCTGCCGAAATCGCTTTGGCACCAAGGGTGACTAAATAATTGTTTCCCTTCCCACTGAGATTATGGGTTTATTTCAAGGTAAGTATAACGGCGTAAATTCATTTATATGAAGAATTCTTAAAGTATACAGCTTTGGAGATTTATTATCACGTTGGTCATTGAACAATGATAATTACCTATTTTAAAAGTGGGTACTAAGTACGAAGTAGAAGAAAACAATTAGATATGTACGATAAAAATGATTTACTAGAGGCCAATACTACCTGAACATTTAAATAGTCGCAACAATTCGATCGACACGTAACGATTTCTATTATGCACAGGTGTAACTTGACGCGATATTTCGGATGCTGGCAAATTGTTCGTCTATGTCTATCGATTGTATCCCAATATTACATTACGGTACCCGCATGGGAGACTCACGAGTCGCATTCTCACCCCTTTTTAGACGACTTCCTTGAGAATCAGCTTCCGCCGTCGAAAAATCCTATTATTTATTTATTATTAATATATGCGTTTGTAAAACCCATTGGTATACAGTGAAAAAACGAAGTAGAAATTAGAATAACTCATTTGGAGAGAAGAGTAATGATATACTTAGTGTTCGACGTAGATTTTAAGAAAATATCCACCTTAGTGTCCATAAAATTGGCATGAATTATCATCCGATTTATCTCGCTTTCCCCTTTTCTGAATAATTCTCAGAAACATCAGGGAATGAATAATTGAAATGAAATGTCTAATTACTTTTTATCTAACGGTCGAACGTTATTTGAGATGTCTAACCCGCAACAAACAATCCCTTACTCATTCAAGTTCTCCTATCGCAATACGAACACGATAAATTAACACGTTAATAGGTACGCGTGTCGGTTTTCACGCTTGTCCGACTTGTTTCGTTCTAATCGGTTATTTAAGTGTACCTATGCCCTTGCGTCGCGTCGGTTCGAAAACATTAGCTCGCCACGAAAGAATAAGAAAAGAGTCGAACGAAATCGAGTCATCGATCCTTCGAGACAACTAAACCAGCACCCTTAAAATAGTTGCAGCCAAGTTAGTTAGAACTAAACATTATCATATCTATCGAATTTCTCATAAATAACATTTTATAATGATAACACAATAACAATACGAAT